GTGCACCACCACAACTTGCTAATTTTTTTGTACAGATAGGGTCTTGCTGTATTGCCAAGACTAGTCTTGAACTTCTGGCCTCAAGTGATCCTACTGCCTTGGCTTTTTTTTTTTTTTTGAGACGGAGTTTCACTCTTGTTGCCCAGGCTGGAGTGCAATGGCGTGGTCTCGGCTCACTGCAACCTCCACCTCCCAGGTTCAAGTGATTCTCCTGCCTCAGCCTCCTGAGTAGCTTGGAATACAGGCGCCCGCCACCACGCACAGCTAATTTTTTGTATTTTTAGTAGAGACGGGGTTTCGCCATGTTGGGCAGACTGGTCTTGAGCTCCTGACCTCAGGTGATCGCCTGCCTCAGCCTTCCAAAGTGCTGGGATTATAGGCATGAGCCACTGCGCCTGTCCTCCTTGTATTTTTTTAATTTTTTGTTTATTTTATTATTATTATTTTTTTTTTTGTAGAGAGGGGTTTTTGCCATGTTGCCTTGGCTGGTCTCGAACTCCTGGGCTCAATCAGTCCACCTGCCTCAGCCTCTCAAAGTGTTGGGATAACAGGCGTGAGCCACCACGCTTGGCCAAGCTGTAGTATATCCTTGAAGAATTCTTTTAGAGAAGGCTTGTGAATATCAAGCCTTTATTTATTTATTTATATATTTATGTATTTATTTATTTTATTAATAGACAGGGTCCTGCTCTGTCACCCAGGCTGGAGTGCAGTGGCATGATCATACCTCACAGAATTCTGGAACTCCTGCACTCCAGTGATCCTCCCACCTCAGTCTCCCCACCATGCCTGACTAATTAAAAAATTATTTAGAGACTGGCTGTCACTATGCAGCTTGCCCAGTCTGGTCTCGATCCCTTGACCTCGTGATCCGCCTGCCTCGGCCTCCCAAAGTGCTGGGATTACAGGTGTGAGCCACCGTGTCCGGCCCCATCTTCCTTCTTGTAACTTAAAAGTTTATCATAAGTGAGGCCGGGTGCGGTGGCTCACGCCTGTAATCCCAGTACTTTGGGAGGCTGCAGCAGGCAGATTACTTGAGGCTAGTAGTTTGAGACCATCTTGACCAACACGCTGAACCCAGTCTCTACTAAAAAATGCAAGTTAGGCCGGGCGCAGTGGCTCATGCCTGTAATCCCAGCACTTTGGGAGGCTGAGGTGGGCAGATCACGAGGTCAGGAGATTGAGACCTGGCTAACACGGTGAAACCCCGTCTCTACTAAAAAAAATACAAAACATTAGCCGGGCATGGTGGCAGACGCCTGTAGACCCAGCTACTCGGGAGGCTGAGGCAGGAGAACCGCTTGAACCTGGGAGGCAGAGGTTGCTGTGAGGTGAGATCATGCACTCTAGCTTGGGCAACAGAGCAAGACTCTGTCCCAGAAAAAAAAGAAAAGTGTATCATAAACGGCCTGGTTCGGTGGCACACGCCTGTAATCCCAGCACTTTGGTTAGGCCAAGGCAGGAGGATCACTTGAGCTCAAGAGTTTAGGACCAGCCTGAGCAACGTGGCAAAACCCCATCTCCACACAGAAATACAAAAATTAGCTGGATGTGGTGGTGTGTACCTGTAGTTGTCCCAGCTACTTGGGAAGCTGAGGTGGGAGGATCACTTGAGCCTTGGTGGACAAGGCTGCGGTGAGCTGAGATTACACCACTTGTACTGCATCCTTAACAATGGAGACCCTGTCTCAAAAAAAAAAAAAAAGTATATCATAAGCATTTTCTCCTGGTTAAAAAATATAAAATTGATAAGAAAGCTCTTTGTGGTATCCTAATGGTCCGTCACACAATTGTATGAAAAAAATATTTTTGTTTCATTCCTCTCCTGTTGCTGGATGTGGAGGCAAATGTGTTCATCATCAAGGATGATAGATGTCCTGATTTTATGGAGCAGTGGACTTGATTTTTAGGGAGTTTTCCTGAGGTTGATGGTAGTTTGATGCCATGTACACAGACAGGTCAATTTGGTGTTCCCTACAAGACTCCTTTCAGAGTCAGACATTGACTGTTTCCTTCCTGGCTTTATTTTACTAAAAATGTTTTTTAGTTTTTTATTGTTTTTTTCTTTTCTTTTTTCTTTTCTTTTTTTTTTGAGACGGAGTCTCGCTCTTTTGCCAGGCTGGAGTACAGTGGCGCGATCTCGGCTCACTGCAACCTCCGCCTCCTGGGTTCAAGGAATTCTCCTACCTCAGCCTCCCAAGTAGCTGGGATTACAGGCGTGTGCCACCATGCCCAGCTAATTTTTGTTATTTTTAGTTGAGATGGGTCTTCACCACGTTGGCCAGGCTGGTTTTGAACTCCTGGCCTTAGGTGATCTGCCCGCCTCGGCCTCCCAAGGTACTGGGATTACAGGCATGAGCCACTGCGCCCGGCCGATAGTTTTTATTTTTAAAAATATTTTTATATTTATTTTCTCATCTCCATGGTTAGCAAGAGATTTTTTTTTTGTTGTTTTGTTTTTTTTGAGACAGAGTCTAGCTCTGTCTACCAGGCTGGAGTGCAGTGGCACAATCTTGGCTCACAGCAAGCTCCGCCTCCCGGGTTTATGCCATTCTCCTGCCTGAGCCTCCTGAATAGCTGGGACTACAGGTGCCAGCCACCATGCCTGGCTAATTTTTTTTTTTTTTTTTAGTATTTTAGGAAGAGATGGTGGGTTCACCTGTGTTATCCATGAAATGGTCCTTGAATTCTCCCTGACTGACTCGTGATCCACCACCTTGGCTCAGCCAAAAGGCCTGGATTACAGGCCGTGACCACTTCGCTGCCCGCCATCATTACAGATACCACAGTTTTATATTTATAATATTTATTAAAAACTATCTGGGCCGGTTGCCGGTGCTCCACACCCGTAACCCAGCACTTTGAGGCCGAGTTGGTGGAACACTGATCAGGTAGATTCAAGACCATCACTGGCCTAACACAGTGATAACCTCTTCTCTACTAAATATACAAAAAATAATATACCCGCCATGGTGGGCGGGCCACCTTATTATCCCCAGCACTCAAGGAGAACCTGAGGGCAGGAGAATGGCGTGAACCCGGGAGGCGGACCTTGCAGTGAGCCGAGATCTCACCACTGCACTCCAGCCTGGGTGACAGAGCAAGAGTCCATCTCAAAAGAAAAAGAAAGGAGAAATTAAGTTGGGCAGTGCCAGAGATCATGTGCCCTAGAGGCAGCTGTGTGGGATTCACTTGGGAGAAGTGGCTTATTGTCTCTGGCCCTGGGTGAGTTTCCTAACCATCTCTAATCAGCTTCATTGTTTGCAATAGGGAGAGTAGTGTCTACCTCAAAGAAAGTGCCATGAGGACAAAATGACATAAGAAATTCCTGTCATGAGCCTTTCCCCATATTAGAGGTCAGAGGGCACATCTCCTCCAGATCCATCCTCACTCCTCTCTCAGTTGTAGTCATGGGAACTGAAGGAGTTCCCAGTAAAATCTCTGTACAGATACTGAAATGTAACTCAAGCCCTATAAAGAATGCTAGTAGAGGCTGCGTAACTTGTAAATTAGACAAAACAGAGAACGAGTGTGACATGACCTGAACCGGTTAACAAGGTGCATACAGAGGTGTGCTTCGTTGATGCGGCATCCAGTGCGTGTCTGAGTGAGTGGATGTGAGCCCTGATTGCCCCAAAAGCATAACTTTGGTTTAAAGGTGTGTACCAGCTTTTGGTGATCAGGATAGAACTGATAAAAATAGTGACCTAGAACACTGTGTATCTTTTTAAATGGAGTTAACCAGCTTTGATCAGTTGTTTTAAGTTGTTAATCATTAAAACTGGACCCAAGCTCCATTGCTAATAAGGTTAATGGGGCTTGTCTTTGGCCTTGGGCAGGAACAGTGTGCATAGACAAACTGGACAAGTAAATAATGAGTCTTACCAGATAATGAGTAAGCAGGTTTTCCCTGTATTTAAATGCATTTTATAAAAATATAATTAATGGGGCTGGGTGCGGTCGCTCACGCCTGTAATCCCAGCACTTTGGGAGACCGAGTCGGGCAGATCATGAGGTCAAGAGATCGAGATCATGCCAGCCAATGTGGTGAAACCGCGTCTCTACTAAAAATACAAAAATTAGCTGGGCGTGGTGGTGCATGCTTGTGATCCCACCTACTCAGGAGACTGAGGCAGGAGAATGGCTTGAACCCGAGAGGCGGAGGTTGCAGTGAGCCGAGATTGTGCCACTGCACTCCCGCCTGACGACAGAGTAAGACTCCATCTCAAAAAAAAAAAATTTGGCCGGGCGCGGTGGCTCAAGCCTGTAATCCCAGCACTTTGGGAGGCCGAGACGGGCGGATCATGAGGTCAGGAGATCGAGACCATCCTGCTGACCCAGTGAAACTCCGTCCTCTACTAAAAAACAAAAAAAAACAAAAAAACGAGCCGGGACGGGCGGCGTGGGTACATCCCAGCTACTCGGGAGCTGAGGCAGGAAATGGGGCGTAAACCCAGGAGGCGAGCTTGGCATGAGCTTGAGAACCGGGCCACTGTACTCCCAGTCTGGCGAGGGAAGCGAACTCCGTCTCAAAAAAAAAAATTAAAAAAAAAAAAAAAAAAAATTTATATACTGTGTGCTGTGTGGTGTGTGAAAAAAATTAATGGAGATCTGGCATCATCCACTTAAACTTGACATTCTTATTAGAAAATGGTAAGATTTAATCCAAATATTAGGCATGAAATTGTGATTTCACCTCACCATGGCATCAGTTTTGCCTGTGGTAGTGGCTTTCTAACACCGTAGTGGGACCTCTGCCTTTTTAGGGCCCCTGGAACCCATTCCCTGCCTGTCTGCATCTAACCCCGCCCCATGAGCTCATAGTGTTTTTGTTTTTCTGCCGGAGAAGGAGGGGCCAAGGTGGGTGGCATGGGCGGAGTCCCGCAAGAGCTCAGACTGTTTGTCTTTGTCTTTATGCTGGAGGAGCAGGGTGAGCAGCTCTAAGGCATTTCCCACGCTACTTGGAACCCCCATGTCATCATTGTGTTTGCTTCTAGCAGAGCATCCTGGCCAGAACAAGCCAAGGAGCCACAACGAGAGGGACACACAGACAACAGACGGAAGACGTACTGGCCGCTGGACTCCGCTGCCTCTATCTCCCCGCCATCTGCGCCCGGAGGATGAGCCCAGCCTTCAGGGCCATGGATGTGGAGCCCCGCGCCAAAGGCGTCCTGCTGGAGCCCTTTGTCCACCAGGTCGGGGGGCACTCATGTGTGCTCCGCTTCAATGAGACAACCCTGTGCAAGCCCCTGGTCCCAAGGGAACATCAGTTCTACGAGACCCTCCCTGCTGAGATGCGCAAATTCACTCCCCAGTACAAAGGTAAGTCCCAGCTGCTGGAGGGGTTGCCACACTGGTGAGGAGATGTGAGGGATCGTGGCCATGGAAGGCCCTGGCAGCCATCCCTGGAGCCCTCACTCCCTCCCACTCTGTGCTTTCCCTCCCTCTCCTCCTTCTCCTCCTCCTGGCCCTCAGCCCAGCATCTCACACCCTCAGTTTTCAAGCCCTGGTAAGATTGCTCAATTCTGTTTTGTTTTGTGGATTTGAGTTTGATTTTGGTAGAAGTGTAGTTGTGTTTTATGTTCAGGTGTCTCTTGATCACAGTAACCCATAGTCTCCCATTGAGGGGACAGTGGGGGAAGACTTTGGGAGGATTTTAACCCAGAATACTTGCCGCCTGCTTTTTGTCCTCCAGGAAACCAGAAGCCCGGGTGATTAGGTAGGCCGGGGGAGCAGGGTTGAGTCAGATGGAATGCAGGAGTGGGAGGCCTGTGCTGATTAGCCCAAGCCCTTTGCTGTTACAGAATGTCCCCAAAATTGCTATGTGAAAGCAACCCTTCGATTCACATATGATAATTTCTAATTTCTTTTTATAATGTATTTTATAGGGGACATCAGCAGCCACCAGCTTGGTGGGGTCTTTGTTGGGGAGTGGGGGAGACTTTTGTAAATCTAAGAAGAATCCATTAAATAAATTAATTTTAAATGTGCATTACCTGGTTACATAAAGGACTCTAGAACAACTTAGGTTCTTTTGGGACTCTTGAAACATTGTCTTTAAGGACAGAACGTACTGGGTACCTTTCTCTGTACTCTGAATATGCATGTGTATTGCGGTGGGGATGGGGGAGTTGGGGGCCCTCACTTGGTCCTTCTCTGTTGTTTTTTTCCAGGACAAAGCCAAAGGCCCCTTGTTAGCTGTCCGTCCCTGCCCCATTTTTTCCCCTGGTCCTTTCCCCTGTGGCCACAGGGAAGTGTGGCCTGAATCCCCCACCCCGGCTCCTCTGCACCCAGAGCTGGGAGCCACCTCAGAAGTGTCGTCTCTCTCTGAGCACGCATTCCCCTGCAGCAGTCGAGCGGGCGGGCAGCAAGGACTGAGCAGATTGAGTGATGCTGGGGCAGAGAGGCCTGGGAGGAAAGGTGTTCAGCCAGTCGTTTGTAAGGCGCTCGTCGGCACCTGCTGAAACGCCCCCACCTGACAGCCCCATCCTCAAAGACTGTCTAATTACTCATGGCAGGTTCTAGAGACTTAAGGGGGAACGCTGCTTTCAAGGCCACCACATGTCTGTGCTCCCCAACCAACTCTATCTGCCTTGTGTTCATTTTGTTATTTTGTGACGTGAGACTGCAAAGACCAATAAAAACATATTTTAAAAGATCAAAAGGCCTGGGTGCCTACCCGTGTGGGGGCACTGCGGGAAGCCTTTGCTAGGGTGTCTTGTGCTGTGTGGTTTGTTTTGTTTGCCCCTTTATTTTGTTTTGCTTACCCAATCTTCCCTTATTCTTGGATGCTTCTTAACCCTCAGGCAAACCTATGTTCCCCCTGTATTCAGGCTCTGCTTTAAAGCAAGCCATGAGGCTATTGGAGTTTCTGTTTAGGGCATTAAAAATTCCCACAAACTATAAAGAGCAATGTTTTCAGTCTTTTAGGATTAGAAGAATTACATAAAAATTAATAAACATTTTCAATGATGGAAAAATGTGTCTTGTAATTCTTTGATTCTTGCCTCGTTGAGTACATAAGAGAAGAAGACTCTTGGCCATGTTTGCTCCCTAATTGCTTGTCTTGTATGGTGTCATCTTTTCTAGCTGTTTTGATATTTGTTAAGTTTGCAGATGAGTTTGGGGCCTCTGGCAACATAGAGACTAAGGAACTGGGTAAGAAAAAAACAAATGTTACAATCATGTTACTTACAGTGCTTCTTCCTGTGGAATTAAAAGTTCTTTCTGCTCCTCACCCCCTTCCAGGTGTGGTATCTGTGCGCTTTGAAGAAGATGAAGACAGGAACTTGTGTCTAATAGCATATCCATTAAAAGGGGACCATGGAATTGTGGACATTGTAGATAATTCAGACTGTGAACCAAAAAGTAAGCTCCTAAGGTGGACAACAAACAAAAAACATCATGTCTTAGAAACAGAAAAGACCCCTAAGGACTGGGTGCGTCAGCACCGTAAAGAGGAGAAAATGAAGAGGTGAGTGTAGACAGAGGACAACTCTGGGCTATGTGGGAGGGGAAGTGTTGGCGGTTTTGGTTATAGCCCAGTTCCCTGGAGCTAAGGACTCAAGTGGATTTAGTAGGTACCTGTCATTCAGTGGCCAATTCCTACATGGCATGCTCAGCCTCTTTCTTTAGTTGACTCTGGTTAGATCCCGCCAGTTTGGGTGTGACTGCTCTGTGCCAGGCTGTGTTCTGGAGATGTAGCTGTGACCAAGAGAGGAGCTATCCTTTTACCTCAGGTTGTTCACCAGTGGTGGGGGACAAAAGGGGCAACTGGGCATCCCTGAAACTCAGTGATCTCCTTAAGCAGGGCCATCCTACTCCTACACCTTGGCAAAGCTTGTGAAAATATAAATAGTATATATATAAAGTAAAGTACATGTAATGTAGCTAAGTAGGTTGACTTAGTCTCATGGAATTTCAGTTCCTATTTGCCCAGTTGCCAGCTTTTGGATTCAGGGGAACCTAGTTGTACTGGAGGCTAGGTGGTACCACTGCCTAGAAGAGGGCAGTGAAGGCTCTCCACATACGGGGCTGGGGAGCAGGGGTTGATCAGAGATCTTAAGTTCTTTTTGCTGTAGAAAGTAGTGGATGGCTGGTCCCTTATGTTATTTTCTAAAATCAACTTTCTTGAGGTACACATGTGGTAAAATGTACCCATTTGAAGTGTTCAAAGAGTTTTGGCAAACGTGTACACGGTAAGCTACCACCACATCAAGAAGTCACTTTTCATTACTCTAGAACGTTTCTGGCCGGGTGCGGTGGCTCATGCCTGTAATCCCAGCACTTCGGGACGCCAAGGTGGGCGGATCACCTGAGGTCAGGAGTTCGAGACCAGCCTGACCAATATGATAAAACCCCGTCTCTACTAAAAATACAAAAATTAGCCAGGTGTGGTAGCATGCATCTGTAGTCCCAGCTACTTGGGAGGCTGAGACAGGAAAATCGCTAGAACCCGGAGGCGTAGGTTGCAATGAGCTGAGATCGCGCCATTGCACTCCAGCCTGGGCAATAAGAGCGAAACTCCATCTCAAAAAAAAGAAAAAAAAAAAAAGAAAGATTCTTTGTACTTTAACCCTGGATTATTTATTTATTTATTTTTTTATTTTTTTATTTTTTTAACTTTTTTTATTTTGGAGTCTTGCTTGCTCTGTTGCCCAGGTTGGAGTTTAGTGGCATGATCTTCTTGGCTCACTGCAACCTCTGCCTCCTGGGTTCAAGTGATTCTCCTGCCTCAGCCTCCCGAGCACACCACCATGCCCGGCTAATTTTTGTATTTTTAGTAGAGACAGGGTTTCACCCTGTTGGCCAGGCTGGTCTCCAACTCCTGACCTCAAGTGATCTGCCCATCTCGGCCTCCCAAAGTGCTGGGATTACCGGCGTGAGCCACCACACCCGGCCTTCTGAATTCTGATAAGACATACTGACCTACTGGTCTTTATCTCTTTATAGCCATAAGTTAGAAGAAGAATTTGAGTGGCTAAAGAAATCTGAAGTCTTGTACTACACTGTAGAGAAGAAGGGGAATATAAGTTCCCAGCTTAAACACTATAACCCTTGGAGCATGAAATGTCACCAGCAACAGTTACAGAGAATGAAGGAGAATGCAAAGCATCGGAACCAGTACAGTATCCTTTGTTCATGGGCATCTCTGCATTTGAGGGTAAGAGGAGAGGAAATGAGGAAGTCCCTTGGAGCTTGGAGAGAGAGGTTGGGTTTTTATAGTCATGGCTGAGTTTCTCCTACCTGGGTTATTCCAGGACACCCTGTATGATAATTATGGGCAAATAATCACTTCCCTCAGGGCAGCCACTGGCCTAGGAGTGCAGATGATGAGGAGTGGGGTATAATAATGGGTTTCTGTGGGGAGAGGGATGCCTCATGAAGGGGCCAGCTTGCATCAGGTGGGCTTTAGCCTAGGTAACCTAGAGGAAGAGGGCAAGGGGCTGCCCCCTGTTTTCAGACTCTTCAGAAGTCTCAAAACATTGTTCACCTGCCAAGGGCTGGGGTGTTTGGGTGAGGAGACTGACCTCTCAGTCCTGGTTCACCAGACTGCCACTGGGACACGAGCTGTGCATGAGGAAATCTTTCTTTTTCTTTTCTTTTCTCTTTCTTTTTCCTTGTCTTTGCTTTCTTTTTTCTTTTCTCCCTCTCTTTCTCTCTCTCTTCTTTTTTTTTTTTTTTTTGAGACAAGAGTCTTGCTCTGTCCCCCAGGCTGGAGTGCAGTGGTGTGATCTCAGCTCACTGCAACCTCCGTCTTCCAGGTTCAAGCGATTCTCATGCCTCAGCCTCCCGAGTAGTTGGGATTACAGGCATCTGCTGCCACGCCTGGCTCATTTTTCTGTTTTTAGTAGAGACGGGGTTTCGCCATGTTGGCCAGGCTGGTCTCAACTCCTGACCTCAGGTGATCCACCTGCTTTGGCCTCCCAAAGTGCTGGGATAATAGGCATGAAGCACCACTCCCAGCCCTCTTCCTCCCCGCCCCTCTCCTCCCCTTTGTAGAGATGAGGTCTCACTATATTGCCCAGGCTGGTCTCAAACTCCTGGACTCAAGTGATCCCCCTGCCTCAGCCTCCCAAAATGTTGGGATAACAGGCATAAGCCACCATGCCTAGCATTTATCTATTTTTTGGTCTCTTAAAAAATGTAAAAACCACTTCTAGCTTATAGGCCATAAACAGCAAGCACTGGGCTATAGTTAACCAGTTTCTGCTCTAGGGAGTACTGATTCCTTGAATGGGAAATGATGAGACAGTGGTCTGTGCACTAGAGACACTCCATTATTTCTGGTCATTGTTTCTAGACCTTTTTTAGTGCACACAGCTGGGAAGCAGACGTTTAAAGAGAAAACTATTTTCATGAGTTTGTACTTATATTTCCAGTTCACATTTAAGGCTAGAAAACTATTTTCATGAGTTTGTACTTATATTTCCAGTTCACATTTAAGGCTACAGGATTTACTGGTTTCTTGATGTTCTACTTGTAATTGAGGACTTTGTTTTTGGACCCTAGTCCTACACTTAGCTAAGAGTTCAGGAAATGGTGTGTGTATCTCCCAGGCTGGAAGAGCCCAGGCCTCTGTTGAGTCCAGGTGCAGGCTGCTTTCATGCCAGTTCCCTGAGAAGAAGTAAAGGTGTCTCTCAGCTTTCTAGTCAGCTCTGGACTCGCTGTGTGGGTGATGGCAGGACTAATGGACTATCCTGTGGGTTCAGGCTTCTCTGGGTCACTGCATCTAGGCACTGTACCTTGAGAGTAACAAGGACCCATGCAGTAGCACTTCCTTTTGAGGGTATTATTCTTAACTACTCAGAATTTATCTTACTGGAAAACCTGACTTCCCGCTATGAGGTGCCTTGTGTCCTTGACCTCAAGATGGGCACACGACAACACGGTGATGATGCTTCAGAGGAGAAGGCAGCCAACCAGATCCGAAAATGTCAGCAGAGCACATCTGCAGTCATTGGTGTGCGTGTGTGTGGCATGCAGGTGAGGGGGATGCTAGGGCTGGCTAGGGCATCCAGTGGCTGTCACTTCCTCACCCTGGCATAGTCCTGTTTGCTCAAAAGATTCCAGGCCAGGTGCAGTGGCTCACACCTGTAATCCCAGCACTTTGGGAGGTCAAGGTGGGTGGATTACCTGAGGTCAGGAGTTTGAGACCAGCCCAGGCAACATGGCGAAACCCTATCTCTACTAAAAGTACAAAAATTGGCTGGGTGTGGTGGTGCACAGCTGTAATGCCAGCTACTTGGGAGACTGAGGCATGAAAACAGCTTGAACCCAGGAGGCAGAGGTTGCAGTGAGCTGAAATCACACCATTGCACTCAAGCCTGGGCGACAGCGAGACTCTGTCTCAAAATAAAAAGATTCCAGATTTGACCCCACACGAGTCTGTTGCTTTTTGGTTGAAAGAGAAAGCATGCATGCCTGCATGATTCTCTCTCAGATTGGTCTGGTTAGCTGAGTCCAGAATCTGTGGGTAGTAGTAGGGAGGAAGGCAAGAGGGTTAGGTCATCTCCAGTGACCCAGATGTTGAGTTGGGGTGCTGGGGCACAATGACCAAACTCAGGTTGGATGACTGCATCCCAGGTGTGGGCTGATGAGAGAGTATAGTGGATAGTGGCTCATGTGCGACTCGTGTACTTTATCTGATTTGGGCTTTCACATGCCGCCGCCACCACACCACCCTTCCCTCCCACCCCCGGCCCCACCCAGAGTCCAGGGTTTGAGATGGCCCTCAGCCCCTGACTTGCTGGTCTCTCTCCTACAGGTGTACCAGGCAGGCAGTGGGCAGCTCATGTTCATGAACAAGTACCATGGACGGAAGCTGTCGGTGCAGGGCTTCAAGGAGGCACTTTTCCAGTTCTTCCACAATGGGCGGTACCTGCGCCGTGAACTCCTGGGCCCTGTGCTCAAGAAGCTGACTGAGCTCAAGGCAGTGTTGGAGCGACAGGAGTCCTACCGCTTCTACTCAAGCTCTCTGCTGGTCATCTATGATGGCAAGGAGCGGCCCGAAGTGGTCCTGGACTCAGATGCTGAGGATTTGGAGGACCTGTCAGAGGAATCAGCTGATGAGTCTGCTGGTGCCTATGCCTACAAACCCATTGGCGCCAGCTCTGTAGATGTGCGCATGATTGACTTTGCACACACCACCTGCAGGCTGTATGGCGAGGACACTGTGGTACATGAGGGCCAGGATGCTGGCTATATCTTCGGGCTCCAGAGCCTGATAGACATTGTTACAGAGATAAGTGAGGAGAGTGGGGAGTGAGCTTGCTAGCTGCTCCAGTACTTGAAAGAGACTCTGTGTCCCAGGCACAGCTGCGCTGTGTCAGGGAGGAGGCCGGTATGGCCAGGTGGTGGCTCCTGCAGCCTGGAGCTGATGTGCAGTGGCCTCTGTGAGCCCCAGCCTGAGCCAGCCCTAGCTGCGCTTGGAGTCTTTATTTATTTTAACTATTTCTTCAACATTCCACATTTGATGATGATACCTCTTTCTTCCCTGAGTGTCTATGTTCTAATACAAATCTTTTTGTTTATTGTATACCGTGCTACTGTCATTCTTTCCAAGGGTAGGCAATCCCCCTCCCAAGCCTCACCACATGCTGTGACCACCTCCCTGGCTCAGTAAGTATTCTGGCTGCCCCATGAATCCTAAAGTCAGCACAGTCTCTTGGCATGGTGTACAGTCTCCAACCCAGCCCCTGCAGGTTACCCAGAAAGGATCCCTGAGTTACGTACCTTCTGGGGTCTGTGCTGGCTGAGTGTCTCAGCACCTCTATCCAAAAACCACATGACACTTGACACAGGTCTTCTCATGGGCCCTATGCAGCTTAAGCCAGTTAGATAGCAGGTGCTCCAAACCTTGGGTCCAGCTTTTAATCCTTCCTATGCCACTGGCAGCAGCTAATTGGCTGGCTATTGTGATAGATGTCCTGGAGCCAATACTAGGGTCTCTAGCCTCTAGGGTCTGGTCCATTGGCAGCCATGGACTGTGTTATAAAGGGGCCCAGGTGATGGAGGGTACGATAAAAAGGCGTATTTGGGTAGGTAGGGTGGTACTCTTGGCCTCACCACTTGTCACCACTCCTGCCCAGCCCTAGTCCCCATTGCAATTTCACCAGTCTCATTCTTCAAGCAGTCCCAGACAGCACAGACCCTGAGATTCTACTCTGCCCCAGGAGGGCTTCTGGGAGGAGGAACCAAGAGAGGTCTTGAACTGCAGAGCCAGACCTGGTGCAGAGGAGGCAGGGTGTGGATGTCAGTTTCCAGCAGTTCTACCCCTCACTTGAACCTCGCACTAGGCCTATGCACTTTAGGTCTAAAAATAGGCAACTGGGTCAGACAGATTACGGGATAATGCCCGTAATCCTAACACTGGAAGGCCAAGGTGGGAGGACTGCTTCAGTCCGGGAATTCGAGACTAGCCAGAGCAACATAGCAAGACCTTGTCTCTACTGAAAAAAAAAAAAATTAGCTGAGTGTGGTGGTGTATGCCTGTAGTCCCAGAGACAAGAGGCTTGAGCCGGAAGATCAAGGCGGCAGTGAGCTTGATCATCCCACTGCACTCCAGCCTGGACAACAGAGCAAGACCCTGTCTCAAAAAATAAATACAAATAAAAATAGAAAACTTGCACACACTGGCCTGTACTCGCCCCCTGCTTCCTGGGCTCCGGCTTCCTGTGGAGTGTAGCTGGACCATTCTCAGCCACCGTCTCTCCAGGACCCTGAGGGCCTCTTCCCTGGGTCTTACAGGCACTCTTATTGCAAGGATTTCAAATACCTGGAGATCTGGGCTAACAGGAAAACTGGGTGGATCAAATAGGCTCTTAAGGCCACCGTGGTACCCCACTCCTCTTTCAGCCCTCCTGTATGCTCTCAGAAAGGGGCATTGCAAATCTTAAGTCCTATAAAGAATAAAACACAGCACGATGATAGCGATTGATAGGGGTGGGAGCTTGACGGACTATAGGAGAGGGAAGGGAAGAGTGTCCCAGGTAGAGGGAACCGAATATGCAAAGGCCCAATATAGAGAAAAGCAGCCATGGCTGATGACAGAGGAGGAGCAGGTGTGAGGAGCAAAGATGCGAGGGCTTTAGACAGGGAATAGCACTGCCTGGTTTCTGTTTTTAATGGCCCCCTTCTCCCCACACTTGCTCCCCACTGGCCACCACTGGCACTCGGTGAAGAGAGGTGGTGAGGCCTAGACACACCGACAGCCGGGCCCCGCGGGGGCTTCCAAGTTTCGGATCAGCAAGATCGTCCTTTCGAGATAAAGTCGCCGTCCTTGCAGTTAGTAGATGGGACCCCACTCCCCCAGGGCGGCGGGGGCGCACCCGCTACGAGCAGAGCGCGCTTTCACCGTGAGATAGGACGGGACGCAGCGTTCGGACTGAAGCGCGGAAAGGGAGCAGAGGGCTGGACGGGTGAAGCTGAGGCCGGATGAGGAGTGAGGGTGCAGGGTCCGGGGATGAGGCGCCTGGAGCCAGGAGGGACCAGAACCAGAGTAGACAGCCAGCTGTCGACCCCCGCCCTGCCGCACCTCTTGGGGCCGCGCGGGGGCGCTGCTCTCCGACTCGTGGAACGATACAGCCCGGGGCGGGGCTTCGGCGGGCGGGCGGGCGCGCGCGCGCTTGCGTGGTGTGTCACGGGGCGGGGCGAGCGCGGCGCGGCGCGGCGCGGCGCTCCCGGCCTGGCGTTGTGGCTCCGCAGCACCTGCCACCTTCCCTGCACCTGCCCTGCCCGGCCCCATGTACCGCGCGCTGTACGCCTTCCGCTCGGCGGAGCCCAATGCGCTGGCGTTCGCCGCCGGCGAGACCTTCCTGGTGCTGGAGCGAAGCAGCGCGCACTGGTGGCTGGCAGCGCGGGCGCGCAGTGGTGAGACGGGCTACGTGCCTCCAGCCTACCTGCGCCGCCTGCAGGTGAGTGCGCCCCTCCCCGCCCGGCCTCTGCGCCCCTGCGGCAGGACCCCTTCACAGCCCCGCGGAACCGACCCAGGAACTCCACCCATTCCGGGACCCGAGGCCAGGACCTCTATCAGAGAGAGAGTTTGAGAACCTGACCCCGAGACCCCCGGACCCACGGGGACTGAGACCCCTTGCCAAGAGTCTGCATCACCCACAAAAGACCAGGCCCTTGACAGCCCAATCCTGATCGACCAGAAGCCTAACCCTGGAACTGAGATTCGTCAGGACCTCAGACCCTTCAGTATCGAGTCAGCTATCCGAATGGCGACCCTGAGCCCTACCGAATCCTGGCCAATTATTCAAATCCCTGAGACCCCAGACCCTTAATATGCCCCTTCTCTGGATTCCTAGGACCCCACAACCAACCTCCCTCCCTCCCTTTCTTCTCCCCCCACTCCCTCCCGCACCTTGCCCCCCGTTGGAGCCACCACTGAGACCTGGACCACCTTGGACACCACCTATTTCCCCAACCATCCTCCAGGTCCTCAACCCCCTAACTTGGATCCTAGAGCTATAGACATCTCCATCCCCTATGTGACACCCAAGCTTTGGTAGTGTCTTTCACTAGCCTGTGCTCAGCCACCCTCTAAGCTCTTAAGTCTCTCCCAGCCTTATTTGAACCAAGGACCCATGCCCCTGCTGACACTGTCTGGCACTGCTCCCTCCACTCCCCAACCCTGACTTCTCAAACTGTCTTCCTTTGAAAGTGAGGGGCTCCATCCCTTCTTGTCCCCAGCCTGGAGTGAGGACTGCTCCCATTGTGACGAAGTGAGTTCTTATAGCTTCCCCTGGTCTGACCGTGGCCCCATTTCCTTCCAGTGGAAGCTGCAGTCCCAGTTCCTGTTTCCCTAAGAGTAGCCCTGCTGCGGGGGTTGGGGTGTGGTATCTCCAGCTAGTCTATTCTGACCACGGGGGAAGAAGGGCCCAGAGCTGCCGGGCCTGTGCCAGACACCCCCGCCCCGTCCTAGTCGCTATCCTTTAGGAAACATCCTGTCCCAGCCCAGTTCAGGACAGAAATAACGGGATAAATTTGGAAGTGTCATCTGGTCTTACCAGGGAGGATGGGCCCTGGGGACCTAGGGGCTTCCTCATAGACCCTTGGCGTGATCCCATGTAGGAGTGCCAGGGTGGGAGTGGGGGCTGTGGACACCATGGCTGCTGTGTGTCAGACCCAGTAAGTGTGTCAGACTCAACCTTTTTGGGAATGGGGTCTCATTGAAGGCCTCTGAGGAAAGTCCTGTCTCTTCCCCTACTGGGCATAGCTCAAGGACCTGTGAGTCCCCTGTCCCCAGCCAGGACCAGTGGGGCAAGGTATTTGGGGAGGGCAGAGAGGCTACCATCTTCTCTTGTCAGTCTCTCAGTTTCTTTCTGTGTGTCTCTGTCTGGATTGCTGTGACTATGTGCCTCTCTGCCTGTGTCGTTCCGACTCCACCTATGTGTGTGTTTTTGTTTCTTCCTCCAGCTCCCCCCACACTCTGGCTCTGGCTCTCAGTTTCTTTCTGCGTTGTTTTCCTCTGCCTCTCAGTTCCTCTCTGAGCTCCTCTCTTTCCCCATTCCTTTCTCTCTCTCTCTCTCTCTCTCTTTCTCTCTCTGTGTGTGTCTCTTTCTCTTTCTGTCCCCTGTCTCCTCTCCCTGCACTCTGGCACACCTCATACCACCTGGAGGGTTTTGCTGACCTCTGTGCCCGCCTGTCTGTCCCCAACAGGGAAGCTTCTCAAACCCATGGTGGAGTGAATTCATCTCAGCTCTGGGGCTCCTGTGTAGCCTGATGGACTACGTGTGCCAAGGCCAGGGGAGGGCTGGGGGTAGCTGGTTTGATAGCTGCTACCCCATACCCCCCATGCCAGATAGGCAGAGTAGACTGGACCCCTGGGATGTTGGGGATGGCAATAAGAGCCTGGAACAGGTGCTAAGCCCCTCTCTCATGTTTATCTTTTGCCGCAAACACAGAACTGCTTCCCGGGGCAGGTCTGGAAGCTTACTGAGACACCCTGTGGGGATGAGGGCCAGCAGCAGGGTTGGGGAGGGTAAGTCCCTTTGACCCATTCTCAGCACCCAGGGCTTACAGAGGACTCTTACAAGGACAGGGCTGTTCTGGGGTGTGACCTTGGTTTTGTGGAAGATCAGCAAGATGCAGAGTGATGAATTAAGGATTCCAGATATTGGAGGCTTCCTGTTTGGCATCTCAACCTGGGCTCTGAGCCAAGACCAGGGATAGACTAGGTGTGCGCTCTTGGCTGCAAGCTGGGAGTCCCTGGGCTATGTTTTTGCTTTAGACCTCTGATTTTCAGAAACATCTTAGCCAAGAGCCTTGCTGTGGGGTAAAATCCTGATCGGGACCTAACATGTAATGTGGCAGCATGGGGGTCACCTGTGCCTCAGCTCCCTGAGTGATGCGGTTTGAGAACCCAGTTCCATATTCTGGTTCAACTTTCTGTGCTATGTCAAGCATTCAAGGCTTTAGCTGTATTGGTTCTTTGCCCTGGGTTCTGTCTTGGGCTGGGTCTGGGCTGAGCACCTCCATTTGGCCTTCAGGTCTAACTGCTGTCCCCTGCCCCCCAGGGCCTGGAGCAGGATG